TTAGAGACAAGAATGTTGTGCGGGAAGACGGATGTTGTGCTGGAAAATCACACACCAGATCACGCAGGAAGAAGCCCAGGTGGCTTTGGAAAGTCTCCAGGGAAGAAAACTCCACCACCTCTCTGGGCAGCCTGTTCCAGGGCTCTGTCACCCTCACAGTGAAGAAGGGTTTCCTCATGTTCAGGTTGAACCTTCTGTTTTCCAGTTTATGGCCATTGCCCCTCGTCCTGTCCCTGGACACCCCTCTTGATAAGCATTGATAAGATCCCCCCTCAGCCTCCTCTTCTCCAAGCTAAACAGACCCAGCTCTCTCAGTCTGTCCTCATACAGAAGGTCCTCCAGGCCCTTCATCATTTCAGTGACCCTGTGCTGGGCCCTCTCCAGTAGTTCTTTGTCCTCCTTCTTGAACTGAGGAGCCCAGAACTGGACACAGCACTCCAGGTGAGGCCTCAGCAGCGCAGAGCAGAGGGGGAGGATAACTGCCCTTGACCGGCTGGCCACGCTGTTCTTAATGCACCCCAGGATGCCGTTGGCCTTGGCTGTGAGGGCACACTGTTGGCTCATGGTCATCCTGTTGTCCAGTAGGACTCCAGGGTCCTTTTCCCCAGAGCTGCCCTCCAACAGATCAGCCCCCAGTGTAATGATGGGGTTTGAGTCAAGTACCCATTTCTACATCTACCCTCTGTAGTTAGAGCCTAGTTTGGATCCAAAAATCAAATTTTCTTGTTTTGGTTTCTATTCCATTGCAGCAGAAATGTCATAGGTCAGAATGATATATTAAAGATCCTCTATAGTAGCAGTACTTGATCTGAAATAGATTAAAGCTAGGCTTCAGTTTTAAAGTGAAACCAGGGTAAAGATTTGATGTTTCTTGTATATAACATTCCTCTCACAGGAGCTCCCAGCATAAAACAGTTCAAATCTCATGTTAAAAGAAGAACTGTAGTCTTGAGTGGAATTCTCGTGAAAAGAAAACCCGAAATAAGCCATTCTGAGGTTTTTTTTTAGAAGAAATCCAAACTGAAGGTAGTAAGAATTTAGTGAATGGGAACCAGAAGCCAATCTGTGTTAAAATACAATGTTGTATGGATTCAAGGTCGAGTTTTGAACCACCTTGAAAATATGTATCTTATTTAATGGCACAAGTATTTATGTCTGCTTGCATTACAAAAGAGAAAAAAAGATAAAAAGATGTAGCTTTAATATAAAATTACAAGACTGTACAAAAATTTAAAACCTACTTGACAGCGGACTGAATAGTATGATTTCTGTACCATTAAAATCCTGACAGCTCAAGATTTGATTTTATCCTAAATCTGACAGAAATCTTAAATATAAATAACCTAGGGCAAATAATATAAAATAAAAATTTGAAAATACCATTTTGTTATTTTTAATAAAAATTGTCAACAATTCTGAATGAAAACATGGTCTGAAACCAGAAACTCCTGTATCTCCAACTCAAGACTACTTTATCAGAATACTAGCTACAGAACGAAAAATGAAATAAACCCCAATTTGCTTAGGTTTCTGCTAGCAGTGCATGAAACAGGACTGACAGGGACTAAGAAGATCTGGCCAATGCATTCTGTAGCTGCTATTTTTGGGTTTAGTCATTCTAAGAGCTATTCCTTTTAAAAGAGAAGATGCGCCTTTACAGTTTCAGCCTAAAAGGTCTCAAAGCTATGCACAACACAGCGTCAAACAAACTACTTGAGACTATTTCTTCTTCAAAAGTATCAGGTAAGATGTTGCCTCTGATGGCAAAGAAGAAAGGAAGCTCTCACCCTTATAACCAGCCGCGTTGGTTTTCCAGTCGTTAGCATTCAGATGTCCTGCACGTGAAGTCCTGACAATAATATGCTGTATGTCTCTCCAGGTCAGAAATGGACTATGAGAAAGGGGAAAGACAACAGTCACAGATCAGACATATTTTACCAGAATGTAGGGATACAAGGTTACGCAAGCTAAAAAAGATCCAAACCAAAATAACCCTTGTTTCTCTTCTCTGCTTTCCTTTGCTCCATTCAAAAGAAGTCCTAATTTTAAAGAATTACCACAGGAAATTATTTATACAGCTGTGAGTTTTGCATTAAGCAGACTATAATGATATATAATAATATTATATAAAACTTAAGGGAAGAGGAAGGAGTACATTTCACAGAGAGGTAATCTGTATGACCACCAACTACTGTATGTTATCTACCTTGACCACTGCAAAGGAAAAAAGCTCAAAGTGTTGGCTTGCTGAAAAGCTCTACTAAATCCTATTAACTGCATGCTCAACCTGGCAATTCTTCTAGACTTTCAGTTCCTACTGAAGCTATTTCAGGTGCCTCTATTGCTATTCATTTCTCTAATTCATTTCTCTAATACCCCCTGTGTGGGAATTCACTGAGGGTCTATGTGTATTCTTCAAGAAGACCAAGCAGCCAGAACAGAATCTGAACATAGCTACACAGCAACTGCCTGACGGCATAGATATGTATTTCTTTGAGGGAGCCCTAACAACCTGTCCACTGGGAAGGTGAAACAAGATGATGTTTGTGTCCTCACTATGACATTAACAACCACTTGTCTTGTAGGGCTAGAGCAAATCTTTATGGAGTATAGTTTTCTTGTTTCTCTTAGATAGAACCCAAGGAGAATTTCTTGTCTTAAAAGACGATCTAAAGGTACATGGACATCATTTGGGAATTTTTTCTTTCACCTGTAAGAAGACGAATAACATTCCAATTAACAAATGGAGTTTATTAGAGGGAATGATAAACTGAACCACTAAATAATGAAGAGGAAAAAAGTACTGCAGTGGAGAACACCAGTCACTCAGTATCATTCTGAGAGTATCACTATCTGTCCCTTTAGAACAGATGGCACAACTCCACTCAGTTGTAATGATGAAGATAGACCAGAATTAAGTATATCAGACCCAGAACTGGGTCTAGGCAATCACTGAAAACCTTGGTTCACTTTGTTATCACATGCTCTTGTGCCTCCCAGCCCAAGAAGTCACCTGGGCTGGCGGACAACTGCCGCCTTCTCAGCACTTATCCTTAAGTCGTGATGCTTGGGGTCTGCTTCCACTGTCAGGGAGAAATGACAGGAATGCAACAGCTCTATGTGCATGGAGAAGGTCAACCCATGGGCGACTGTGAGTGGGTCACTTTCTGGGGTGAGTGGGATATTGCCATCACATGGAGTGACTCTACACTTTTAACAGACACATAGTCGAGTTACTACAAATTTCAATGAGAAACTCCTTTGGGACACAAGATAACAATGAAAATGAAGAAATTTCTTTTTCTCTAAGTCCCCCTGAAAGTAAAAGGCATAGAAAATTTTCACTCATCTCTCTGATGTACACAAATGAATGGTGTGTGGATTGGCATCCCACACACATTGTTTCACATCTTCCAGAGCTTGTTTTGTCAAAAGTGCATCTTTTTGGAAATACTTGAGTAATCAGTGCTCGAGTAATTGGTGCTTTATGGCACTTAGATATGAAAGTAGAATCCTGTTTACCCTGTGAGGTGAATTCAAGCTATTAGGAAGCAATTAGCGAATATATGCGATAATCAATTAAAAAACAAGGGCCTTCTTTTTCATCCTAGATGCATCAATTTAGGTTTTCAGATGATAAATTTCACCTTCCACAAGCTGCAACTTTAGGGACACAGAAGTTATTGCAAACCTGCAGTCAGCTTGTTTATAGAAAAACTTGCTCCTAGCCTACAGTCTGCACATGCAGACATAAATTCATAGGTATTAACCAACAGAAGTTCATCTGTGTTAGTGAAATTACTGAAAATGAAAACCAATTTCTGAACCATGGTCTGTAATTCCACACAGGAGAGAAAAACTTGTGACGTATAGGACAGTAACTCACAATAACTGAGTTTTACACATTTTACTTACCTTATAATCTATATGCTTGAAAACAAAGAAGATTTGCCTAAAAATGTCAGAATTCCATTACATAACAAGATTGTAAGGAGTAATGCAAAGTCAGGGACCAAACCATTTAACTATACCTATTTTTCTCATTTCCTCTGCATTAGTATGTTTTTAGTCCTGAGTGTGTCTGTTCCATTGCAGAACACTTCCCAGTAGGTGTGTGGACCAGGGGTATGCTAAGGTAGCCTAACAACTTTTGACCTACAGCTGGGAAGCAACAGGAAGTGGCATGTATTCTTCTAGAGTCAACACAGAAAGCCCTGTCTACAATTTTGTTGAAACAGGAAGAGAAGATGGAATAATCTGAAGAAGGAAGATGATTTTTAAGTGTATCACACTAACTGTAGCTAGAATTTTTAAAATTTTTTCACAAGCTGTATCAATTCATAGCCATTTAATTTCTCTCTGGCTTTGTCTGCAAGATATAAAGGTATTCCCATATTTAAATTATTCTGTTATTTTTAAGGAGAGCTGATGCCTTCTGACCCTAGGCATTTATTAAAGCATTAATATGCCCATAGATACTTTTTGTTTCTTAAAGTGGAATTTCTCACACTCAACAGTTGGACTAGAATGACAGTAATTTTTTATCCAGCTGAGCTGGTAAAATAACTGCCAAAAAAAAAAAAAAAGAAGAAGAAAAAAGTGTAATGGAATGTAAGCAGCATTAAGGGTTTGTAGATATGGTATGCTTGGACAGTCATGTAACATGCTTCAAGAAAAAAAAAGTCAATAAGGTTTTATACCAGCTCAGGAATTTCACTGTGAGCCTGTGTAAACTCTTAGAAAAACATGTATCAGGCCTTCAGGAAGATCTCCAGGAATCCCAAGAGCTGCATTCTTTATAATCTGGAAACTAGACAATTTGTTATTCTATAAAAGAAGCTGTCCATGCCACAGGTGAAAAATAAGGCACTAAAATACTTCTCTCAACTTCTGAAGGAGAGAGTCAATAAAGGGCATGCTCAGCTGATTATGTAAAGAGGAATGATGGATTTAATGGCGGATCTAAATATGCCTAGATAAAGGATCTAAAGGTATAGTAGTCTTCACTTGATAATACTAACCTCTCATAAATTGGATTTAGCCACTCAGTCAGCAAATGAGATAATGTTTCAGAATCCTGGTTTACTTCTAAAATCAATAATTATGGCAGATCTTGAGAAGTGAGTAATTCACTGTTTTATCTACCATCCTTATCTAAACATAAAAATTAATGTAATAATTTCTGGGGCAGAAAAACTTGATCAAACATCTGATTTCCAGGACATGACATGGTATATAGTTAAATCAATCTATCTCTTATGCAACCTCCAAATCTGCTTGCTTACTGTATAATTAATAAGATTTTTGTTTTTTCTGAAGGGATGGCAGTTTGGGTGTATTAGTATCTAAAAGATAAGAACGTAAAACCAGCATAAGAACAATATTTAAAACAATTTCTGTAGCCTACTAAAGGACTTCCACTATACTAAGAATTGAGCTACTGCCAGATTGAAAATTTCTTTCTACAGTAGACACCTCCTTTGAAATAAAATAGGTCTGCAATTTTTTGCCTGTAAGTTTTTCAGAAACTTCAACAACAACTCAAAAAAAAAAATTGGAACGATGTCAAAATAGCAGTTCATTTGGAGAAATGAGGGATTTTTTTTCTTTTTTAACAAGATAGTCTAGCAGCCAATTTTTAAGCATCTGGGAAAATCACAGAATTGGTCAAATATTTGTAAAACATGTCAAAATTGGATCTTAAGTGAGTAAATAGTTGTTTGCTAGCCATGTGGGTCCCAGATCCAGACAAGATGTCACTGATGTTAACTGATTTACCACTTGATTAATCTCAGAAGAATTAATGGCTAAACATCTTGAAATGAACAAATGCATTAACAAGAACGGTACTAACTCTGCTTGATAATGGATTGATTTCAAAAATTGGATGATTTCCTTCCAGATTTTTTTTTTCAATGTCCCATCTGCAATTGCCTTGGAATTACACATACCAGACAACACTCAAAATCAAACCAGAATAAGCAGAAGTGAGAACAATTACATACAAAAGTGCTTGAACAGCAGCCAAAAAATAATGAATGTTGTGTCCTTAGTCAATAGTTATACTCTAAGGTACAGCCCTCTTCTTTCAGGCTTCTTAAAATATTTATAAAACAAGGTAAATGAGAATAAATTAAATAGGACAATTAAATTATATTACAGTAATACACTTCTGAGATTAAGTGTATCTTTAAACAGGCTTCTTAGAAATAGGAGATCACATTTTTTGGCCAAATCTGATTTCTTCATTACACGAGCAATCTCCCTAGTGACAACTGGGCTAACCCTGGAAATAGTAAAGAATTCGGGCCCAAAATGACACTGTGCCAAAAACAACTTCAAAATAAATAATTGGTGCAAGAGAGACAATTAGCAAAAATATCACTCGATGCAATAAAAAAATAGGGTAAAATTCTGGGCGGTTTCTTTTTAGCAAAATGCTAAGCTTAGCAACATGAATCATCATTGCCACATTATCTTCATAACCAGCAATCTGAATGTGACAAAGGTGGCCTATCTGAAAAAATATTTCTTGCCAAAACAGAGTAAGATGAGAATTGCTGGAAGAATATAATAAACTCTTCTCCAAAGAATAAAGGAAAACAGAATATCACAGGGTGGATTAAGAAGACGATCACTGTTCGGTTTGGAATTATCAAATAACCTTGTTTGGAAATCTTGGCTATGAGAGAACAGACATGGATAATTATTGCTATAAAAAGGAGTCTCTGTGCCCTCAACATCTTGCAGAGCAGCAGGCGATCATTTTCATTACTAATTTCTGCACAATGCCACCCTTAAGGGCTTTATGATACATTTATAAACAAAACATAAGAAATAGTTGCCTGGTTTATTCACACATTCCCATCTCATGTCCCATGAGATCTACAA